GTGGTTTTTGGTAACAGAAATAAAAATTATTTAATTTTTGCATTATGTTTTCACTTCAGTTATATTTGTCAAATGCAGTTTTTATATAATTGCTAGTTATTTTTTAGGTGAAGTGTTCAGAAAGTTAGTAGATGACTACATGCGGAGAGCCATACACAAAGGGATACCTCCTTTGTTTGTTGACTTGAGGCCATTATACACAGACCTAGAGAAGGTAAGAAGCAACTTGCTACTTTAATAGTGACATAAAACTATGAAACCTTAAAATATATTAGTTATGTTAAGACAGTTTCTGTTTATTTTTTTTTAATTTGGTCCTGAATATTTCTACTAACCTAAGTTTTTTTCTCTTATCATTATGGCAATTACTGGATTATTAGTTACTGATTATATACAGAGTAAAATGTTTTTTGTGGTAACCTAACCTGACTAGATGACTTTTTGTCACATCTTTATTAGATTTGGAATCAGGTGTGTGTAAAAAATCTCTTTTCAAATCTGTATTTTTCTTTGCCATGAGTCACTTCCTAGGAAACCATGCTTTCATTACTATAATTTGTCAGTTTCAGTGGACCAGGATGACAGTAAAAGTCTATCCAAAATGCTATATATTTTTTTAGTACAAAAAATTTAATGTTACATCATTAAATCCCAAAAACTGATGGAAGCAATGGAACCAATAGGCTTAATATTTATTACAAAAGTCATGCTAAACTTCACAGATTTTTTTTTCTTATTTCTCTTAACTAATTAATTACTGATTTCAAATCATATGTTTGAAAACAACATTACAGATGTGTCTTTTTCTCTACTACAAGATACTGCATTAATTGTGAATATGTTGTTTCCATTTGTAGTCCTTGTCACCCATTCTTGAAAATGTGAGAAATTAGTTTAATTACTTGTTCAATCATTCTTCACTAATCCTGAAGGGGGATGACCAATACAACTCTTAAAACAAAATCCAAACCTTCAAGGTTATTACACTGTACAGGTCAAGCACTCAAGACTAATCCTTGAGTGTCATTTCAGTCTATTATGAAATATGACCAGAAAAAAGGAGGGATACTCTTTCCAACAATAATGTTTGAGAGACTTGAGTAATAAAATGAGTATTCAGTATAAAACCTACTTTTATGAAAATCTTACAAAAGAGTTTTAGTATAACAATACAGAATAAGTAAGGCTACCCAAAAGTATATTACATTTTGTAGAGGTATTATAAGTTCATTTCCTATTTAGAATAAAATCTTATAACTGTTATTTAATTAAGTACTGACATCAAAGTATAAGTAATCAGAAATTAACCTAGCATTATAATATTTAGTGTTCTGGATATTGAAAATAGCTATTGCACAAATTTTACTTTTGTGTATCATGAAGTTTTAATAAAAAAAATGTGAAATCTTGTGTGAAAAAACATTGTTACTTTATATTGAGTGTTTTCTTTTTTGCTTTTGTGGAATTATATTTGAAATGTTTCTTAACTTTTAGCGATATTTGCTAAAGTAGTCCAGGAAACCCATAATGTGGAAAGTTTTGGCTGTTTTTCTCTACATATTTAGTAAAGATAGATGTGAAAAGGATTTTTACAGGCTCTTAAAATTCTGAAAAGTTATGGAAAACAAGCTGCATAATTTCAACACTAAAAATTTTGAAAAATGTCTGTTTTTAGTCTTCAGTCCTCAAATTTCAATTTTAGCAAAAAAAAAAATCCCTCTTGAAATAATTAACTTATTAAAAAATAAACAAAAAAGTTAGTTATCAGTATCAGAATTGTCTATATTTCATGTATACTATTGTGAATCTTTTGCCTTACACGATTGTAAACTGTAGTAATTTATCCAGGTGGGTATGTTTGAACAAAGAAAGTGCATGTTTAATCTTGCATAATAGGAAATTCGAGTATTATGGAAAAAGTCCTGGAAGTTTTTTTTTCTCAAGTCTGTATGAACCATATATATATGTGTGTGTGAGTGCATATATTTTAAGTATATTTTGTTCAAAAATTACAAAACTGGTTTGTGATTAGGTAAAAATTATTGAAGAGTTGGTCCTTGGATATGCAAATATGCTGAAGCAGAAGGAGGTCTTTTCAGAAGATGGTAAGTCATTACATAACTGATTTTACTATTTTAACATTTAATGTTCAATGTAAACCCTTGCAGGTTATCTTTTATATTGTATTTAGTTTCCTTTAGTTTAGGGAGAAAAGTATTTAAGTTTCTTCAGTGTATTATTTGAGTGTTCCTCTCAAACAAGGGTGAAATGTTGTGCAGTTTTGAGTATAATTTAATCATGTGCATATCCCCAAAAGTGGTCAGAAACTGTTTGTTTCAAGACATCTTACAACAACAACTTAAACACCACATAACTATTTTATAACACCAGCTTTTCCAGGAGCTTTCACATATTATCATCAAAACTTTATAGGAATATCCTTAAATATTAGTCTGGTCGTGTTCATTCCTTGAGGAAGGAAAATTCAAATTATTTATGTTTGAACTTAATGCTTTTCAACTTTTGTGGAACCATGTTGTGTAGTAAACTCCATGTACATTGTTTAATGCAGTTTTACCAAACTTTGTAATGAAGTTTTAAGTAATAGATCTAATCATAAAGAAAGTTGACCTCCTTCCCAATTTTCTTCAGTATTTATTCCCATGAGAACTTACACAGTTTGTATGGGAGACATATTATGTATTCCTTATATCTTACACTTTGTTTCAAGAAATTTCACCATATGTTTTAGTAATGATGTTTTTTAGGCATGAGAGTGAAGTGTTTGTGAATATTTTGGCTGATAAGGATTTGAACTTTTTTATTTTGATGAAATATAATATTAAATAACTTGGGGTCTGTTTTCTTGATTGTTATACAATCTAGTTCATTTTATGAGTTTTAAGTAGGTTTGTAACTACATAATAGGCTTAAGTTCTTTTTATATGATTATTACTACTACTAGCTACTAGAAAAAAGTATGTAAAATGTAATGCTGAGTGGCAGATTATGCAATCACAGTATTGCTTGAATAAATAAAGTGGGACATTCTGTTATAATGGTTTGTTGGTATTAGTAGCAGTAGATGTCTGGATGGATTAGATAAACGATTTTTCTAAAGTAATGGGTGAAATTAAGTATCTTTAACAATAATATGAAATTGTTTTGTATTCACTTTTTCACAGTTCATAGTATTCATCTAATGCTAACCAAATTAAATAACTGAATGTTTCAATATTCTTACAGATAACTGTATTGAAAAGGAGCCTGCTACTGCTCTCCTGTGGACCTACTACTTTTTGGCTCAACATTTTGATTACTTGGGACACACAGACAAAGCCTTAGAATATGTCAATACGGCCATAGAGCACACACCAACTCTCATAGAATTATTTGTATCTAAAGCTAGAGTATATAAGGTATGCTCATTTAAATTTTGTTGTCAAATAAGTATTTTCAAAGGAACATGTGGATATACAGTTTTATGATTTATGATATGTTTCTTAACATACACTTAAAATAGGCCTTAACTCTCTCAACATGGGCTCAGTCGAATTGATCGACCATGTGACCACTTTTTACATGTTATATTTTTGATATTATTAACTTTCAATAAACATATACAAGTCTTTTATATACAAAAAATCAGATTTTTTTTAATGAAGTATTTTTACTAAAGATTTGTCCATCAATATATTGAGTCTTTTTTTTTTTTTTTTGAGTAGTCAGGGTGCAAAGTGATTTTCATGTTAAGATTAAAAATACTTTTCTTCATCTCAAAAATCTTAATTTTCACTTACGTAATCTCTAAAACCTCCTAAATACATTTCAAACATTTTTATGTAATGTTGGTAAATCTAAACGACCTTGCAACCACTAAAAAAAAATTGAAATAAATTTAAGTTATTCTTTTATTCTTTCCAGAATGACTTCAAATTGTAACATGAAACTACATTTTTTATCCTCTTATCCTTTAAACTCATAACAGCATACATATATTTATACTTAAATTTTATTGCCCTTTAAACTGTGTCTAACTACTGTTCATGCAATTATAAGTTGTAATCACTTGGAGTAAATTCAGCTCATGTTACATTATCAAATTACATTACCCACAAACTGCTCATGTGCATGCCTCATGAAATTTTTTTTTTATTGTTATTTATATTTTCATAATATGACCTTAACAAACCTAAAAATATTTCATTTTAGTTACTTTTATAATAATAAATAAATAATACACATGAAAAATAAGAAATAAAGTACTTGCCTGTGCCTTCTCTCTCTATCGATGACACTTTAGTCTACTTTTTCTATACTAATGGTATTACTGCACTAAATAATTTTTATTTAATTAAATAATGCACCAAAGAACATAGAATAATAATATTCAAAAAGCAGACAATGTACCATAACTATTACAAATTTTCTGGCTTTTTAACTATGTGACAAATTCATCCAAGCTAGTCGATGTGTTTCCCATGGGAATGAAGCTTGGACTAAAAGAGAAATTGTCAATTCTCTGTACAGAAAACACCAAAATATAATATGTCATTTCATAGATGAAAACCTTGGCTTTCTATTGGTTATAAATAATATAGTATTAAACATTGGAAAGAACTATTGACAAATCCTGAAAGAGAGGATGTGACAGGTAGATGTGGCAAGGGGGGTCTGGTTTTCTAATTGATGGCTCTATAACTAAACAAGATTGAAGTCTATAAAAATTATGCTTTGCCTGAGTGATGATAACAGTATAATGAGTAATATACATAATATTTTGTACTTCTTTGAGGGGTAGTAAATAAATTAGAGAAGAGGGGTGCCTAGAGAAAAATGTCACATTTCTCACACTAAAGGAAATGCTGGATTTTTTTTAATATTGCTTTATAAGATTAAAACTTGAAACTTGTATACTATTAAAATATGGATTATAGGCTACAATTTTATGCTACACTAATTGGTATAACATGAATGAAAAAAGTAGTTTAATTAAATTTTGAATGTAATACACTAAAAACCTCAAGACGTACATTAAAAGATGTCCATGGAGAGAGGGTTAAGCTACATGAGTGCAGCTGTTTAATATGCTCAGACTCTCACATTTTGACCAGGATACATAAGCAGTGATATTAATAGTATTTATTGTATAAGCACAACAGACTAATAAAAAGGTTAGACTATCTGCGAAATTTCAAACCTTCCAATTGTGATTATAAAAGCAGTTGAATAATCTATTTCATGGGCTCCTGTTTCTCCTCATTTATAATGACAAAGGTTTGTCATTTCTTATTGAAGTAAACACTTCCCAAAACTAAATTACAATTGTAAATTGTCATAACATTTACAAATATAAGCATGCTCTTATTTATTTTGATAGTGATAAATGTTTTTAATTTTTAGCTTAACCATATAAAGAAATTTTGAACTTTTAGGAGTTCTTGTAATGAAAATGGAAATGATATTTATACAGTTGATGTTATTCTATTTGAACTTTTAACATTCCATTTTGTTTTCGGCACAACCTAAGTAGATACTGTCAAATATAGTTTTCATTAAAACAGTTGCATAAGATATGGCAGAATTGAATACTGGAAGTATTTCTGTTAGTTTTGAAAATATATTTTTTATGAAAAGTACCTGAATCAAACCCTGTTTTTAAAAGTTACTTTTTCTGCATCACAGCATGCAGGAGATATTGACAAAGCAGTTAAGTGTTTGGATGAAGCCCAGTCTTATGATACTGCAGACAGATACATCAACTCCAAGTGTGCCAAGTATATGTTAAGAGCCAATATGGTTAAGGAAGCTGAAAAAATGTGTTCAAAATTTACTAGGGTAAGTTCTTCTCTGTGCACATTGCAACTTAAGTCTCATTCAATGTAAAGTTGATGTATTTCTCAATCAACCTTCATTTCTTTAAACAATTGAACAATTTCCAAGTTTTTATATTTTTATTCAAAGAAGGATGACATTTCGAGCTAGTGCTCTTTGTCAGATCATAGAAAGCATAGTTTGGCTTATCATAGTTCTCTATGTAGTTGATGAATCATTATTGGATAAATCACTAAACTGCTTGAATACTTAATTGTTTTGAATGTTGCCTTTTTGGAATTCTGTTTCCAGTATCTAACCACAGTCATTTTACATTTCTGAACTCTTCAAGTACCAGTTTATATTTTTCAAGATAGAAAAATTAATGAATAGTGGAGCAGCAAAGAATCAAACTTGATAGTTAGCAGTATTTTCTTGTAGAGAAAGAATTTTCTATATGTACATTCATAACATATTTGTCTTAAAAATTCTGAAATCTTGTATGCAAATAAGCGCTTATGTCATTTAAAATGATGGTAGCATATTTCTATCAAGCTTTTAAATTAAATGTTAGTGCTTTAAAGATATGTCTCAGTAAGTAACTGGTAAAAGTACTTATTTCATATGCATACAATAGTTGCAACAATATTTGTGCTTCTCTGTAATTGTCAGAATGAGAAGTTGTTTTATGGCTTTATTTTCTTTCCATACAAAATTAAATCTTGTGTACAAAACAACAATAATGGGATCAATTTTAACAAACACAGTAAAATATGAAAGACTAAAGTAAAACCATAGTTTTACCATAGACAAATCATTCTGCAAAGACCCCCTTTTTTTGGCACTTGTACAATCTGTTTCAATTTCAAACATAATTATTGGCATAGTTACATATAAAGAGAGAGATAAAAAGTACTTGTTTGCATGTGAAAAAATTAAGCACTTATTACCAGTTAATTCGATAGACCATTCCAAAAACATTTATTTAATGTGTAAATCTGAATTGACCTATAACAACTGGTTTTTTTCCTCTTTTATACTCAACAAAATTAGGAGACACCAGTGGGTTTTACTTTCCCAAAATGATGAATGCAACGATTGTTTAGGACAACTGACCACACTTGAATATCAAGCTTGTTTACTCTGATATAAGCTTTTTATATATGTATGTTTGTATTTTTCACTAACTTTTTGCAATTGAAATGGCATGCTGGTAAATTTTGTACATTTTAAATCAGTTGCTTGGATTAAATATTTTAATTGTTTTCTTGCAGGAAGGTGTATCTGCTATGGAGAATCTGAATGAAATGCAATGCATGTGGTTTCAAACAGAATGTGCTCTAGCATATCAGAGGTTAGGGAAGTGGGGAGATGCCTTAAAAAAGTGTCATGAAATTGATAGGGTAAAGTAGATCTTTTAACTACATAAGTATTGTATTTTGCACAGTAGTATTGTCTGCACTTTTTTGTTAATGATGTAGTGCAGTGGTTGTAAACCACTGGTATGTGGACCACGGAGGTTTCAACCAGTCAGTAAAACAGTTGGAAAAAAAAATGCTTTTTAAAATATAGCTACTGAAGTTTTATCATTTTATAAATATAAAAGTATTTTAAAAAGTTAATATCATGTGAAGCAAGTTGGTATTCTTTGTAAATGTGTAATGTGTGATGATTAGTATAATTCCACAACAAACATAGCTGTTTTACTTTTGCATAATTCAGACAATTCTGTAAGCCCAAAAAAATTAAATTTTGATTGATTGTGGCTATGTAGACATGTTTTCAAATTCAGATTAATCCATTTGTGTAAGTCTAGAGTGCTGTCAGTTTTCAAAAATGACATTTTTCCATGTATTTGTTGGATTAGACAAAGGAATTAGCTAAGAATATGAAGCAAAGTAGTTAGCAATGTGTTTGTTTGATGGGAGAAGGGGAGTTAGCTTGTTTATTTTTAAATTGGAAAATGCAGTTGGGTGTGACAAGTGAGTCTAGTTCTTTGAGCAGTGATTTAGTTGCACTTGTAACACATGCACTGTTGTTGCTAAAATCAATTTAGTAGAGTTGAAATACCAAAATTTCCCCTCTGTCTTCAAGCCACATAAATGTGTCTAAAAAGATATTTTTGTAAAATTGTTACCACATTATTAAGGATGATTGGTTCAATTGGTTGATGATGTTAGAAAAATACATAGGTTCAAGAAGTCTTGATAGAAATGAATAAAAAACCTATAACCCGAGTGCTTTTGAAAGGTGGACCTTTCTTCTTCAGGGGCAAATTGGTTCAATTGATTATTACTCGTGGCAACTGTTGAATAGAGAAACTTAATTGAAGACAAATATAGATATTTCAACTTAAAGCCATTTATCACAACTATAAAATAAAATTGAATAATTATTGGATATACTTGAAAAGTTTTTTTGGTGTACAAAACCTGAAGATAGTATTTATATGTGGAAACATCTGTTAGCTGAGTTCTTGCACAGATCTTAAAATATAACATTGATAAACGAAAACATCGGCACATGTAGATTTGTAGATCTTGAAAGTTTTACAGGAGCGACATGGTAAATTCTTTTTTTTACACTCTTATTTCTTATGGATGTGGGTACATGTTGTTTAATTCTATCCTGCAGCCTTTGTGAAGTGCGACCTACATACCGATATTCGCAGTGGCACGAGAATTCATAAATAACCATACTTTTCTGTGTGGTAGGTTTCGCATCTTTGTGTGTTACAGGCAACAGCTTATGTGTGGCAAAGAACAGGTTTATGTGTTTTAATAAAGGTGGCTTCCAAAATATAGAGATGAAAGGTTGACAGGCCATTTGCAATAATTTTAAACCTGCTATCCATGTAGTTGTCAGCAGAAGTCGGGTTCACAAGTAAATGCTGGCCAATCGCTGGTTTTCATTTACAATGATTATATTTCCCAGGCACAACAAATCAAAAACTATAGGAGCAATGGGGTGTTTTAATAAATTTACAAACTGCTGTATGTAATTATTATAAAATCTAGTAAGAATGACCTACTTTTCGTAATTTCTGATTGTAGCTGAACCACTGCATTCACTGTCATCCTTATTTTTAGCTTCTTACACTTGTACTTATCTTACAGTGACAAAGCATGTACTAGACTGACATCAGATGATTTGTTTGAAATGACAAAAAAAATCTACTATGTCTACCACCAAAATGTGAATTTTTGGAAAAGTGTCAAAATAGACAAATTAACATTTTTCTCACTTTATCAATAAATTCAACATGGTACATATTTCATTAATGTATAAGTTTAAAAGTGATACAGTCACAAGTAAAAATGTGCAATACATTTTTTAAAACTTCAAAACTTCATTGGTAAAAGAATAACCCAAGAGTTGGCGGTGGGTGGTGATAACTAGCTGCTTTCCTTCGAGTCTTTTACTGTCAAAGTAGAGATGGCTAGCATGCATATCTCTCGTGTAGCTTTGTACAAAATTAAAAACAAACAAACTGATTGTACAGCTATGATACGTGGCAGGAAAGGTTAGGTCAATTCATTACTGGAGAGAAAGTGGGGAGCTTAAAAAAAAATAACTGGACTATTAGGGCTACATTGTTATAGGCTAAACTTTGATTTCAGCCAGCCTTGAGCGTGTGGGCCATGGTAAATGTTAAACCTTACAGTTAAGATGCCAAAACATAATTAATTTCATTTGATAGTCAGGGTTAATTCTTAATGTGATGGCAGTTGGAGTTTTAAGAAAAATTGTGAAAGCCCTGTTCACAAAGTACTGTGAAGAACTCATTGAATAGATATCAAGAAACCACAGTCCTGTAATACCAAACAAGATAGGGAACAGAGAAAAACTTGCTGAAAAATGGAAATAAAACTGCAAGAAACATTACCGATGGCATAATTATAGAGGATACAGAATAATAAATGAATACACAGATCCACAATTCCATCAGTTTTTTTTGAAGATGGCCAACATCACTCACAGATATTACGCATCAAATCATCACAGAGCCTCCTGCATGCTTGACTTTTGGCACTAAACACACTTTCCACAACCTCTCAGTAACTATTCAGTGAACACACATATACATACATATATATATATACCAGTTACCACCAAACAGTTCAAAAACAGACTTATTGGTTCAAAGCAGTTTGTACCACTTTTTCAAACAGCTGGATATATGTTCTTTTGCAAAAAAGCTATACCCTTCATGCAGTAAGGGTTTTTTGCTGTTATTCTTCAACATGTTCACATTTTTGTAGCATTCTTGAAATTTTATCTGTGCATGATTTGTTAGTGAGTTAACTTCTGTAGCAAATCAATGATTATTTTGTAACTCTCTAAAAATCACATTTGTTGAGGTGTTCTCATAAATGTGCACACTGACATAGATCTATTACTTGTAAGTCTAAACAAAAAATGTAACTACTGCTTTATGCCATAGCAGCAGAGTCTGCTGTTTTGAGGTTGTCTGAATACATGGCTGAAGATGACTCATTCATTGCCTTTTTGTTGTGCTCCATTTGGAAGTGATTCTATTAATACATCACTAAAAGTAACAATTGGAGTTATTGAAATTAATTTCTGTTGCAGTTTTTATAGCCTTAAATATAATTGTTATTAAAATGTATTTTCTTCTCATTATTTTTTAAACAGCATTTTTCCGAAATAATTGAGGACCAGTTTGATTTCCATACTTATTGTATGAGAAAGATGACTCTCAGAGCTTATGTTGGACTACTAAGGTTGGAAGACATTCTCAGATCTCATCCTTTCTACTTCAGAGCTGCCAAGGTGGCAATTAAGGTTGGTCTATACTTGAAGCAAAAGAAAAATCTCAACTAAAATTAAAGTACTAAACTTTTTATTAAGCCTCTTTTAGTGCAATTATAAATATCATTTTAAAAAAATGTTTGCATATTTTCACGGACAGAATTTATGGATTAACAAAGGCTACTAATATCTTATATAGTCACAAATTTATATTTCTTTTTCATTTATATATTGCACATGGTTTACATATTCCGTTTTTGCATTGTATGTGAAAAATTTTCACAATCAGGTGATTAATTACTGATACTTGCATTTGGCTATTGTTCAAATGATGTACTTGACAAAAAATGCCATTTTAAAAGAAAAACTTCAGATTTGCAAATTTGAAACATTAAGCTGTGAAGATATAAATGTCCAAAAATTCTATTTAGGCCCATTCAAAAAATTTATAAATATATAATATAAAGAACTATTCAAAAATTAAAGATGTAGTAACACCTAGATTCATAACACCACTTAACTCTGCTTTGCTTGAAGTACTATAATTGTAAACTATGATTATTTAATGAGTTAATTGAAAAGAATTGTGACACGCCTTGCACCAATTTTCTAGTTGGGTTAAAACTTAGAAAGAGAAACTATATATATATATATATATATATTATATTATATTATATTAAAAGAGAATTTCCGGAAATCAGAAAAATGCACTCCTGTCTCATACTTTTCCTGTTACTATGCTTTTTATTTATGATGCAGCGGTGGACCACTTTCTAAAAGTACCATCAACTTTTAAAAATTCAAATATTTCAGATTACTTAACATCATCTAATTTTTGGCTGGTATCATTATAGTAATCTTTTTGGTTAGTGGCTTGTAAATGAGGGGGTTGAGTAAAGTCCTATTGGTTCTATGATAAGTTCATAAGTATTAAACCATGCATTGTTATTGGTTAATTTATATGAAAAATTAAATCTGGAATATAATTGATAACTCTTTGTGCATTTTTTACATGAAATTATTTTCCTTAAAATATGTTTCAAGATTAAGGAGTATTAGAAGAGATAACACTGATGATGTGATTTTTTTGTGTAACGAGTATATCGTTTTTATGTGATGACTTGTTTTCTTTTTACATGTACAAAGTAAATGGAAAATATGTATTTGCATTATATTGCAACTACTGACAATACAGGCTTAGTTTGTAACAGTTTTTACAGGAATTTTTCTTTAGTCATCTGTATTTTCAGGAAGTGGTGTACAAGATTCATAATGTTACCTATTTTTATAGTTGGATATAATAAATTTGCTATATTATTTGGAGGAAGAAGAAAATCAAAGAATCATTTCATTCTGTCTTGTATTTTTGGAATTTTTAAGAATAAATCTTACCAAAGTTTTATTTTACCTAGTTAAATTATACTAAATTTATATGAATTTCCTTAATTATGGGGAAAACCATCTTTTAATTTCTTACTGGGAATTTTATTAATTATATCTGTAAAAACGTTAAGAAAAAATTCAAATGAATTTCCATTGATTCAATCACATCTTCTTCAGGTTTACCTCAGGCTACATGATAAACCACTGAGTGATGGTGAATCTTCTCAGCAGATTAATACAGGTATGGTTGTTGTAGTGTATCTTTCTAGATTGTTTACATTTATCATATAGTCACTGACAACTTGAACTACTGTTTGTAAAGCTTTAGTATAATATAAATGAATGGTAGTATGTATATGTATTGTTCGATACCTTTGCAAGCTCAGTTATGCATTACAATAAAATTGGGTTATCTATAATACACACAAAATTTACTGAATACTAAAGTTGTTTTTTCGTAACTGGGAAATTACATGGCAGTTCGTATTGAAAATACAGTGTTTAATCAGTTTTCTAGAAGGATAAAATGGCAAACAATTGTATGTTCTTCTGATTCTTATAGTTGCTCTGCAGTTTATGAATTTTAAGAAAGACAAAGTTAAATCTCTCTTTGTTTATGTACAGACATCAATTTTGAAACTTTTAAAGGCTAAGTAATGTATATCAACTTAGTTGCCATTATCTATATCCAAGGCTTAGGTTAGAACACAATGCTTAAGTCACCAAATAGTAAAAGGCTGTTGATGCGTATTTAATGTTTTTATTTGAATTAATACAGAATATTTAAAAAGCAAATTTTAAACATTTAGCTTAATGGTCTACTACAAGATTTCCTGGTCAGCAAAATATCAATATATTTATATCAGAAATGCATAAACTATTTCAATAAACAAATATTATGTAACTAAAATTTCTGTTATATATTGCAACTAGCATAAGGATAAGCTGTGTAATCTCAAACACGGGCAGTTTCTCTCTAATGGTGAGCAAGTACGTCGATTTATTTTAACAGATTGTATATTAATTGCAAATACCATATTTTTTTATTTAGGCTTGCTCATTCACTTTTGTGTGTGTAAGTTTCTTTTGGGTTTATAATGAGGCTGTAGATAAATAATATAATTAAGTGCTGGACCTCACTTTTAAAAAGTTGGAATCCACTTTGAAAACACTTAACATGTCATTACAACCTGCACTTTGGAAACATTGAATATTTATGCCTACAAAGACATACACAAATGTAATTTATGTTTTTCTTAAATTAAGTAAATAAGTATTTGTGGCATGAATCCAAGTGTTTGTAAATTATAAATCTTGAATTTGACTAAAATTTAATGTTTTCAGTACTAAAAATATATAATCCAGAATTCTCATATTTAGTTCTTAATTCCTGGGTAGAAAATTAAAATACAAGATACCTTTATCCATGTTTTTCAAAATCAAGAATATCATTTGATATTTGCTCTGAAGATATGCAGAACCATTTTGCATAGTATTTCTTTTGGGGGTGGGTGGTTAATAAGGTAAATAAAGAAATGTTTTACATGTGCAGTGTTTCAGTTGATACAACAAAATTAAATTTTATTGGTCTTGTTATAGAATGTTAGTTTTCCGTAATAGGAAATACCTAAAATTAGCAAAGAAGCATTCTTGTATTGATAACATTTTTTTTTATACTGGGTAATGGAATTTGAATAAAATGTTTGTGCGAATTAATTCTTAAATATAGACACTTGAAAAAATTGATATATGACATTAAATGGGTGTATTTATCAAATACTAATTTTTTTCAGGATAATTAGATATATAACCTAAATAGATCTTTACATTTTCATGCCATTCTTTATGCTATAAATTTACAAATTAATATCTGTTCTGTAGGTAGATGTTATTATATTAAAGATAATATAAATATTAATAATGATACCATACTTAACTGTTTCTCTTTTATGACTTTTCTACCATACATGAATGCTATGAATAGTATTACTGTATATGAAAGAAATGTGATAAAACATCACATTAAACTACAGTTGTTGTTTTTATAAAATCTTAGTGTTTTATTACCTTTTGTAAGTGAGAACTTGCTTGGTAAAAAAATGTTTTTCAAAATTTGTACACTCAAAAATAAGTTCTTGAGGGCTTTGAAAAATAAGTAAAAACAGCATAGCACTAATTTTACTAAGCCTAAAGAGTTCATTTTAATTGTTTCCTGTTGGGTAATATAAGAGACAAAATTATTGTTACTTTAATGTGTAAATTTAGATAGACATAATGTTATGACCATTTGTTTCATCAGTTTAAAGAGAGTCTAATTTTACCAAAGCATAACTATTAATTTCTGAATTAGCTATTACAGAAACATTGAAAACAACAGCATTTTTCATGTAAACTATTTATATCATGTAAGTGAATATATTGCATAAAATTTAAGTTTTCACTGGTTTTTAGGCCTAACTTATCATTCTTCTTAAATTATTTTATTGAACATTTTATGAAGTCATTGGTACCTACTCAATTTTTATGAACCATTTAGTTTCAATAATTGCTTATCGAGATGACCATCATATTTTTTATTTCAGAAATCTTAATTATTTTTGTCACTTAATTTACTGCATGACAAGGATAAAAAAAACAACATATCATTCGTGAGAACATTGTCAAATGTCAGTGCAAACTCTGAATACCATTGAACTGCTAGACATTAATTCATGCAACTGTAGAAGGAAAAAAATATTTTTATTTTATTTTTTGTACTGACATTATTGTAATAATAATTCTCAGTTCATTTCAATGTGATATGAAAATGTTCTGTTAAACTCAGTTAACTCAATTTCAACCCAAGCTTACAAACAAGTGTTAAAGTAAATTTAATGCACTGTTTTTTTCATCTTCAGTATAGTAACATAAGCTGTTTAATAGAACTACATTTTCTTCATTTTGTCACTTTTCAGTTACACATTTTATTTATTTATTTGAGATTTTAACAAAATACCACATTACCTTTTCAGAAAGCATTTGAAGGGGTGATTGCATTATGAACTATAACATTTAGGTTGGCATGTGTAAGTCTTCGCATGAGTTAAGACATATATATATATTATATTTCACCAACATTAATTGTGTCTACTGTATTTACGTTCTTCACAAATGTCAGTGTAACAAAAACTAAACTATTTTACACTAAACACTATCAAATCACAATACCTTAACATTTTCTTTTCTAGTTGCATCATGTAATATAAATTGCCTACTTATTAGTTTTTATAATAAAATGAAAATCCATTAATGTTATGGTTACCTTCTGAAGAAAATTCATTGTAAGATGAAGGTATAAACATACCAGACTTGTATAATAATTTAGAGTAGGATAAAGGAATATGTTCGCTGTACGTACCACCATGCAAGATAAAAAACTTCTCTCGAGGAACCTGTTCCCTATCCAGGTAATCTCCTTTTATCAGGTTGGGAATTTTTCCTGCTTTCTTCTTTAGTTCAAAGTCAACAATATTGACTCGTTCTTCTGTGAATGTGAAGATTTTAGGATATTCTCTACCACTTTTGGCGATTCCTTTTCTATCGTGTATCTGGAATGGATTTTCTGGAGGTAGCATAGAAATTTTGTTTTGTAAGTCAATATTTTTTGAGATTCTAGGCGAACTGTTAGGGTTAAACTGAGTTCTGATGTAAAATGGATCCTGTGGTGTTGGTAGCTGAACATTTGGCGAGTTAAATTTTGGTATGTCATAAAATGGTGGGAGTGGAAAGGTTGGGTTTATCAACCATGGCTCGGTGAACTCTGGATTCTGTGGTGGGAGGTTTCTGTGGTAAGTATTTTTTGGCAGACTTCCTCCTTTAGGTAGTCTTGTTCCAAATAGTAAACCAGTACCTTTATCTCTGACGTTGTTTTTTAATCCAGGTATTAACGTGTTTATATTATAACGTGGACTTTCGCTGTATTTAGCGATATATGGCAAGGACTCAAAAGTTCTTGTAAACCTAGAGAGCTGGGGAAGATCTGTAAAAAGCGGATTGTTTCCTTGTATGTTAGAAAACTTTGGTCCGTGACTAAACATTGCACGATACTCAAAACTATTGGGTCCAGTATTTGTATAAAATAACGAAGCTCCAATTTTTTGTACTTCTTTATTCTTTCCAGCTGCAAACTGCTGTATCAGTAACTGGTCATTTTGCGTTTCTTGCGAGTTGAGCTTTTTGGTGGTGCCCTCTCTAGGTAGACTTCCAAGAAACAAAGCCAAAATCATAATCAAGGAAACCTGGTAAATAATAAAAATCATATTTGATGAAAATAATTTTTTATACACGTGTGAACTTTTTATCGTATTTAGGTTCTTAAATTTTTTGTCCACTGGTTGGCTGATGGTGAGAGTGTATGTCTGTCTTTTTGTTGACTAGCTTGTTCGCTAAAGGCGTGGGTGTGCATCAAATACAAATGATCAAATTTCAAAGGATAGTACAATTTATTCACAAACTCTTGGTGTTTTCTATTTTGTTACTGAAAACATGTCTCCATATCGTAGACTACATACTATGAAGCCTCAAATTAATTTGTTCTTTTATTTTTGTTACGTAAAAAGTTGAAAATAGTACAAAACTGTGCAATAAGAAATTAGGAATTGTGCGTATTGTGTACATGGGCTTTGAAGCTCTCTGAGAAATACAAATAAAAATGCAAAAAAAATGGTAAAGAAAAATTCTTTTTTGTAGCAAAGTAGAAAACGGCCTGGAATTATTGTAATGAATTATACGTTTTTGAATAATAAGTTTCTCAGTTGTGTTTGACTTGTACACTCACATCTTTAATCTACACATAGAAAGAAACACACACTCATCATTAGCCAACTAAGAAATACAAATAGCCACTCAATCCATGATGACCCAGCAGTAAAATTGGAGTTTTCACGACGCTAAAATTCGGGATTCGATTTCTGCATTGCTAAGACGAAGTTACTGGCATAGTTTTCAAACATTTCCAAAGTTTATTGTTATTTCAAGGATTTATGAAATGTATGGATGATAGATCATTCAATATTTTTGTAAACAAATACGTAAGTATGGTGAACAAACATTATCATTACCCTTCGAACTTATCTACCCAAGGGTTTTAATAATCAAATGTATCTCAGTTAAGGACATTTCTTTAGGCATAACCAACCTTTTTTTTTTCCATAGGTCCAGTTTAGATTAATAAAAATGTATATTTACTTAAAGTTGATGCTTTTCAAATTTAATGTGGGCTGGGCGTGGCCTAGTGGTTAATATATTAGGCTACGGATCAAAGTGCTCGAGAAGTGATGCCGTTTAACACACTCCACACTTTCAGCTGTAGTCGTGTTATAAGAGTGATAGTCAATCCCGATATTGGGTTCCAGAGAGCCCGACAAAGTCCTTATAGCGGCGGGTACTGCTGTTTAGCACTTTCCCTCTAGTTAGTAGATCAAAATTAGGGACGGTTATACCTGAATCATAGGGTATCTAGCCTAACTGTACAAATAATGTGCCGTTCAGGTTGGATATCCTATTTACTAATGTATTATACATTGTAAGAGATCTTGCCAGAAGTTGCTTTTAAGGAATCACTGGAAGATTTATTATGTTGACATTCTTCACTCTAGTTACTATGGTAAACTGCATTTTTAAAGAACGGTTAAACATGGTGATATCTTCAGTGTAAATTAGTTAGTTTTATTTGGGGGGGGGGTTACTACACTGTATGTGATTTTCGGTATTCTGAACTTTTCTTATGTTGCATGCCAAGTGCAATATTTTTCACATGATTCGGTAACTTTTCTACTTAGAAACCACGAACAATTGCAATATCCGGAACAGCAGGTATCTGTATGGGCATGAAACAGGTTGATGTATTATTGTTTTTAACCAAGTTCTGGTTGTTGAGAAAAATACTTTTGCAGGGATTCAGCGGAAATTATACAGTTGTTACAACTTTGTCTTTTTATATATTATTTATTAGGATCCCAGTATATTTACACTCTCTACTAGCGTTTTAAACCGTTGTTTGTTTGTTTTGGAAGTTTAATTTTTTTATTTACTTTAGAAAAAAAAATGGTAAATATTATAAGGGATTCAGCGGAAATTATACAGTTGTTACAACTTTGTCTTTTTATATATTATTTATTAGGATCCCAGTATATTTACACTCTCAACTAGCGTTTTAAACCTTGTTTGTTTGTTTTGGAAGTTTAATTTTTTCATTTACTTTAGAAAAAAATGGTAAATATTATATAAGGTTTTTAGTCTCTATTTGTAAGACAGTTATTTACTGTGGAAAATCAAAGATGTTATCGCTTTCATTAACTTACCATTTTTTTTTTGTTGACAAACGACGCTTTCACTGCTATGATGTGATTGACTGAAGTTCCAGTCATAAAAGAACCCTTAGCAACTATAAGAAGTTGATACCCCAGCCTCTGTCCTATAACATTTTCTGACTTACATGTACACGAATAAAATTCCCTATGTATAGTATAGAAGCAAAAATTTCACTTCCACTGTTTACACTGACCTAAACTTCGTGTATTCCTTGCCTTTAGGCTTACATGTATGTAGTTAGAACCACAAACGCTTTTTCGTCCTTGGTGTGGACAATTATTTGTAAGAAGTAACCAGCTTTGTGTGAGCTGACGTCCTCGATCACGTATCTTTGTTACTTTCGCTGTCCATCGTGTTTTTTTACGATCTTGTAAAGGTTTACCGCCATTGGACCTTCACAACCTGGGCATGGAAGTATTGGTGATAACAGTTTTAATTGGTCGGCCACCATAAGATACCTGCAGGTATGTATATTTTGATGGATGGTTATGACGGTGTATGTCGTGGGAATTCCAAAGCGTTCTAAAATTTTCTGTTGGAAAGAGCACGATGTTATGTTTCCTTCGTGGGAGTACAAAGGCGATAAGATTAAAGGTATCTGATGTTAGTAGGTCATTCAGTGGGATGAGTACATTATGGAAGTAGGTTTTCCCTAGAGCTTACGGTTAAACCTAAAAATAGGAACGGCAGTGACTACAATGAGAAACATCACTCGTTAATTGATAGTACATAGATGGGTCATGAGTTTTATTCAACCTGGTTAACATTGAGAGCGTATAACAATTGGTTGTGAAAAGGCTCGCAAAGTGACTGGAAATCAAAAGTAATTAATAACTAGAATATCTTTGAGGAGATACCCACTGTTGACTACTTTAAGCTGCTTGATAATAGGCTATTTAAAGGTCCCTAATGGTCTGTGGGTTCAGAGGTAGTCCTTTGTGTCAGTTTTTAAATTGTTTTGTTTTCGTTTTTTTTTTATCCGCTATCTGACTACTTACGAACTGTGTTGAGTAAGTAACC